ATTGACGTAAGATATTTGACGTTTCTCTCAGTCCATAGGCGTCCACGAAAATTTTTTTTTGGGGGCAGGCGTCCTTAACGTGTTAAGTCCATTTAACTTTAATTTGAAATACTCAAGGTTTTGTGTTTTTACAAGATTAAAAATATACGTAAGATATATATGGTTGACTTGCAATGTTAAATCGCATTTAAGGGATTTAATTTTATACATCCTATTAAAAAAAGTCGCTATTATTAAGTGTATATAATATGACCTTGCTTACCTTAAAAGGACTTAGGTCAAAATAAAAATTTGTTTTGTTACAAAAAGTGAAAGAGCTTAACATTTAAATTATATTTTTAGATAATAGAAATAAATTTTTGTAACAAGTTATTCGTTAACATTCTCAGTACGCTTTTATATAACGATGGCAATACAATATTCCCAAAATTTTTGTAGGTCCTCCCCGACCTGGCAAATAAATCACGAATTTTAAATTCTGCGTTCTCATCCATGGTTGTTTTGTATAAAATTTTATATGGTTCATTTCTTAAGAAATCGCATTCAGCATATTTTTCTCCTTCTTTTTTTTTTAAATCTGTTGTACGAGTTTAATTCCTCTTCACTTTCAGAATCAAGAAATCTCGTTATTTTATCCTTTTCCCAGTGGTTTAATAATAATTTCTTTAAATTAAATATTATTTTTTAATATCAAAATGTAATTTAAATTACCTTCATCGCTGCTTTCGACATTTTAGGCCGCACTTTTTCACATCGTCAATATAAAGTGGACTTAGGTCACTTTCAAAATTAGGATTTTCAGTATTTATATTATTTTGAAAATGTACGTGATATTAAAATTTTCAAATGTACTAAGTAGTATATTTCAATACCGATTCATTTTTTTTTGACAGTTCAGCATAAATGTTGTAAATGTCACAAGTGCCAACTTGATAAAAGATGAAAATGGACTTAAGCCACTTTCAAAATTAGGATTTTCAGTGTTTATATTATTTTGAAAATGTACTTGATATTAAAATTTTCAAATGTACTAAGTATATTTCAATACCGTGTCGTGTCCGACCAATTTTGTATTATATAATTTAGTCTTAGTCAGGGGAGCGGAGAGAGAACAAGTCTTAGCTAGAGAACTTAGAAACTTAGCTAGTCAAACTGAGAAGAAGTCCTACTTGGGAGAGTCCAAGGAAGAGCACTTACTTCATAAACACTAACTTAAGAGGAGAATGTAACTCTTAGTTAATAATACCTGAGATCAACTATTGTTTAGTTGACTTCTCAATAAAACTCCGATGTGTATAATAAAGTTAATTAAGAATATTGCATTTAATATTCATAAACCCCTCTAAGAGTCCGCAACGACAAAACTACAAACTAATTCACGGTGTCCAAGGATTTCTTAACCCTGGGACACGACAACCGATTCATTTTTTTTTTGACAGTTCAGCATAAATGTTGTAAATGTCACAAGTGCCAACTTGATAAAAGATGAAAATGGACTTAAGCCACTTTCAAAATAAACGGCTCACATATAAAATGACTGAACTGAGCCGCCCGCCCCCGCGTGCAACGAGCAAACAACACATTTCGTCCTCCAAAACAACTTCATCTTTTTTTTACTTCGTATCCTTTTTCCTTCCTTCCTTCCTTCCTCTTTACACCCATTTCATCTCTTCACTTATTCGCATATATTTTCTCCACCTATTTTTAGATGAGTGCGTGTTCGTATGTGTGCGATTCGAATGCGGGGCATTATTCCAGTAGTGTGTGTATGTGTGTGTTGGTCAGCTGCGACCTTGGTGGTCGGCCCCAGCTGACCCAAGCACTGACCTCAACTTGCAATTGCACGTAATTGCACACGCCGTTTGTCCCGAACACCCTCTTCTCTCACCAAACTCACTCACTCATTCCTCAACCTCCCTCCGAAAAAAACGAATCATCAATCAACTTTAACACTTTTTATCAATAGCAAATTCAACTATCCAAATGTGAAAGTGAATTCAGATTCATCTCGTGAAGAACAAACTTAATTCCAAACGAAAACCGAAAGTATTTTCCCATATCCTCACCGCAACAGTCTATGTCAGCGGTCAGCCCCCCCTCCTATTCTGAATTCATGAAACAATCAATGTAAATTTTAAATAAACATTATTTATTGAATTAATTTGCATTTACATATTTATAAAAAAAAAGAGTTACATGAAAATAGCAACAAATAGTAATAGACAAACAAAATAAAATTCTTAAATTGGGAACAAACAAAAATTAATTGAAAACTTTCCCCCTTCAGGTTTTGGAAACATGATGTTGCTTCATGTTTGATATAATCACTTTAATTTGAAAGCCTTTGCAGCCTTTGACAACCAAAAAGACGACAAGATTTGCTTTGGTCTCAAATTGAATACAGTATTGGATGGAAGTGCAAGAATTGCCTTTGCCGAACCTTGAAGTTCTTCTGGTTTGTTAGTAATTTCACATTTAAAAGGATTTACAACCCAATTTACAGTTTGTACATCAAAATGTGGAAAGTAGTCAGAGAACCGCTCTTTGAGTTTGGTAAAATAAAATTAGAAAAATTTCCCTATTACCCAAAAAAAAAATCATTTTTACCTTTACATATCATCATCATCATCATATCTATATAATAATCAAATTCCAAACTGTCCAAATTTATTTTTCTTTAAAAGCTGATCGAAATTCAACTATTTTGTTTTTTGTACCAGTTTATAGAATTATTGATTCTTGCACAGTTTCAAATTCGTGCTCGAAAACATCATCAAAAGCGTATGTTGACTTAAGCAACAAATCGAACGCACACACGACAGTCTAATTTTACTTCTATTGATTGCAAATTACTGTTGAAATTAAAAAAAAAATCAAAATTTGTTTAGAATTGTGCGAAGGTTCGTGAACTTTGTTTTGCAAGTCTTGTTTATGAATGGAAATTATTATTTACTTACTTATTTATTTATTTATTTATTGTTGCGAGAAAGAAGACAAGCAGCCGACAATGACCGAATTAGTCTATGTTTAGATCGTACACGTCTATATTTATGTACAAGTCGGATGCGCCCCATTTATCGGTGAATGCGTTTATTGTTGTTGTTGCTGTTGATGATGATGATGTTATGTTATTTATCCTTCTTCTACAATGTCTATAATATGTTGGTGAATCAATTATAAAAGTGGATCAAAAATCGATGATGATGTAGAAGATTTATGAGAGATGTATTTTTCTGCTTGTCTCCAAAAGAAAGCGGCGTATAAAAATAATCGCGAAGGCAAAGTGCAAGAAAACAAAACGTAGCGAGTAAATAAAGAATTGGAATCAAGGAGTTCTCTGGAAAGGAGAAGCGAGATGGAAGAATGAACGCACGAAAATATTTTTATGATGATGATGATGATGAGAGAGAAAGAGAGAGAAGAGCGGAATGCAGCTTAATCAATCGTCGTGCACTTAACTCATTTGCCGTTGATAATAGTTTAAGCGAGGTCAAGAATGTTTGTCATATTAAGTCTCCCATTTAATTATTATTATTTTTCTTTTTCTCTCTATATAATATTTTTTTTGTATCCATTCGTTTGTAGATCCGAAGATGCGGCACGGACTTTGGGGTCACGAGATCATGCACTTCCAGTTCTCCGACGGGGTGACCAAGTATCAGGTGGCGAACGCCACCCTCTTCGTCCACGTGAAGGGTACGGGCGGTCGTACTCTTTCGCCCTCCTTCTACATGGAGCTGTTCAAGGTGACGAAGAACGAGCACAACAACGAGCACAAACTCGTGAAGATCGTCACGAGACGAGTGACGCAACCTGCAGGTCGCGAAGGTCTCTGGGTCCTTCTGGACATCTCGACGATGGTCTCCGAATGGTTCAAGAATCCCAGAGAAAATTACGGATTCGTGGTGAGCGGTACAGTGAACGGCCGCAAAGTCATTTACACGCACTCGCACTCCAAGGTCGGGGAAGTCGACAGATCTAAGGTACGTACGCACATCTTCTATTAGTCACAGTTTATTTACTGTTGTCTCATTCGACCAATAGCAATAGTTATTTATAAAGATTCTATTTTGTTTATTTCAAATAAAACAACGATATTACCATAGTAATACATTGACATTATTAGATCCACGATTGTTTGGTGCATGACCTACTGCGAATTAATTGTAGTAGTAGCCAGAAGAAGATCTCCTCCGCTCGTGTCCCACAGATAACGGACATTTACACACACACACACACTCCTTATCTGTCATCTTCTACAGCATGTTTTTTTTTTGTCAATTTTTCATTTCTCGGTCATCCAGATTGTCCCCGCTCATCTCTCTCTCTTCGACTCATCTCAACTTCTCTCTTTTCGTCATCTGATAAAAGAGCATCCACGTTGCGTATGGACACGACACGCGTAGCATTTATTTCCGCGTTTCAAGTGCGATGACAATGTTATCAATGTTTCCCAAAAAAATGTACCGATAAGACAATATATCGTGTGTTTCATTAACACATTGACGACGGCATGACCCACCGGTGGGTCATTAATTATAAATAATAGTTTTGTTGCTATGTTGCACTGATTTTGACTGAGAATAACCTCAAATATCTTAAGTCAATTACAAACTTCAGCTTAAACGTCAATACGATTTCTTATACATATTTTAAACATTCTTGGAGCAATTTAGAATAATACGTAATATTGTAACATAATTTATGCATAATTTACAAATTAAATTACTATACATATTTTAATAAATTTATGATACTTTACAAATAACTTGCTGAAACATATTTGAAATTTTCATTCAATGCTTCATACTTGCCGCTTCTCAGCTCCTAAGTAATCGAAGCGCAACAGGCATTAAAAATACAATATGATTATCAGAAGCAGATATTATTTCTGTTTCTAAAAAAACATTGCTAATTTATTCAAATACAATACAAGCTCAATTATTATTATTATTGCTTATTATAAAACCTATAGCACTTTTTCCACGTTTCAATAAAATTCGAACAGGATTCGAATAGGATCATTCAATAATAGAAATGTTTATTTATTTTTCTGAACATCTTCAAAACATTACATTATTACATTATGTTACAACTTTATGAAAATTTCAATATTTTTCCCCACATTTGTTATAAATTGCTTCAATATCATTAAAAAAAATGTATAAGAAAAATTTAATCGTTTAAAGGTTGACGTAATTGACGTAAGATATTTGACGTTTCTCTCAGTCCATAGGCGTCCACGAAAATTTTTTTTTTGGGGGCAGGCAACCCGAAAAGCGCCGTCCTTAACGTGTTAAGTATTACGAAATGTAAATCTAAGAGGAGAGAAGACGATTTCCAATTAAAAAAAAAAAACCTACCTGAAACGTGAGATAATCCTTAATCAATCCGAAATATCTTAATTGGATATTAAGCCGAGTTGTTGAATGGAAAGTTTTTTGTAATATATAAATTTCCGACCGTTACGCAACACCACTTGAATAGTACACGCTTTTATTATAGTGTGTGCGCGAGAGAGTATAGTTTTCTTGTTGTTAATTAAAACGAATCGATAATTGAATTAATGCCTCAATGGATTAAATTGTCGGTTGTAATTGAAACTTTTTGATTACCTCTGATTTAATACTGGTTTTTACGGTTTCTTTTTTTTTATTTCCCATCAGTAGAACCACTTGTTTTTTTTAACTTAATTTATCCCAAAAAAAAAGACTGTATTCAAATTATGTTTATAAATTGTTATTGCGAGATTAACCTGTTTTCAATTTGTCTGTTTCTTTTCGTTAATTATAGTTGCCGTACGTGGAGGTGACGACGAAGGAGGCGAAACGACGGACCAGACGTAACGTGGGTCTCAACTGCAACGACAAATCACACGAGACCCTCTGCTGCCGCTACCCACTGACCGTCGACTTCGAGGAGTTCGGCTGGGACTTCATCATCGCCCCGAAACGGTACGAGGCGAACTACTGCACCGGCGAATGTCCGTTCATCACCCTGCAGAAGCACCCTCACACCCATCTCCTGCAGATGGCATCTCCGAACACCACCGGCCCCTGTTGCGCTCCGCGCAAGATGAGCGCCATCTCCATGCTGTACTTCGATCAGGAGATGAACGTCGTCTACGGCAGTCTCCCAGGCATGGTTGTAGATCGTTGCGGATGCTCATAAATTCAACTGAAAAACAACAAAGACTATAACTATAACTGAAAGTGTTCAAACAAACAACAACAACAGTGTTTCCTCAACAAATTGAACGAACTGCTATTTTTTTACGTTACACGTGTATTTATTGATTATTGGAACGAACAGATTAAGTAAGTGCGAGTGAACCAAGTGTACTGAAAAGAAAAAAAAGACAATTCTATACAATGTATTCTTATATCTATCTATATATATTCGCCAGGATCGATGTTTCCTTTCATTCAGTTTTCAAATTTACATTTCCAATAAAACCAATTATAAAAAGATCTCTCAATAAAAAAAACTGTACTGATACTAAATACTAAAAATAATTATAAAGCAAGGAAACATTGCCTCCTACTATCACTATTATTATATAAATAAATTTACAACAAAATGAGAAAACAACAACAAAAAAAAAATAATTAATAAGAATTTTTTGTATATAACTTATTTGTACATAGATTGATTTAATTAATTAGTAAGTTAGCAGGTGAAGAATACGTTAGCTGTACATAGAATTTGCACGGCCCTCTCTTCGAAACATGTACATATTTATTTTAATTTCTTTTCTCTATTAGTATTTGTTTTTTTCGAAAACGTATGAGTGCGATACAGTATATATAAATATATATAGACATATATTTTTGTAAGTTGTTAGTGTGGACAATTGTTTTTTTTTTAATTTTTTTTTCTTAATGTATTTGTTTGGATCTCAGAGTGTGAATTTGTCATATAAGTAAAATGAAGATTGGGACCGTCTCTCTCTCTTTTTACATATATGTATTATGCATATAACAATGATATAAATGTGATCGAAGTGGGCGAGAAAAAAGAAACCACAGATCTTGCGCATACAGAAATTGTGAACTTTTTTGTTTTTTTATATATATATATGTATATATATATGATGTCTTTCATTTATTAATGCGAAATAAATGCCGGTCTTTGAACATCGGACAAATATAATTTCTGTTCTGTTTTCATTCATCCTCAAAAAGAAAATCTGTTTATTTGATTAACAAAAATATAATATTTTTTTTTTTTGCTAATTACCGAAGCAATTCTCTCTCGTTGCTCTCATATCGTAACTAAAAATAAACGCGATTTGTTAATAGTTTAGGAGTAGAGTTATAGGTCATGTCCCACGGATAACTGGCACACAAGTGTCTCCAGACCGCTCGCACCGAAGCAGAGAAAGATAACAAGGAATTCACTGATGTACACACACACACCGTGCATGATCTTTCTTTCCTTTTTCATTTTGATCCAACTCTCTCACTCTCGAGTATAGGCTAGATCCGGGACGACTAAGTTTTTTACTTTTTGCAATTTTCCATCAATTTATGAAAACGTTCTCAAAATTACTTTGGACGAATTTAAACGAAATATATTATCAATTTCCAACTGTATATCAAATTATTTCTTAAGAGTTGAATTGATGTGTATTTCTGATACAGAAGTGAAGGTAGGTGCAATTAAAATAGATGTAATTCGATGAATGGTTCTCGTTTACAAATGTAATAACGAGTGACTTCTTTTGCAGGGATATAAATAAGCTGTGGTAATTGACAGATTACGTTCGATGCATTTATTTTTTTTTATAAAAGTCGCCGACGTGCAGAGAAAATTCCAAAAATAATGATGATATTCCGAGAGTCTGTTTTGTCGTTCGTTTGCAGTCGTCGATTCATTTATTTATTTGTTGTTGTTGTTGTTATTGCTGTTTCGGGATTGCCGCAAAAGGCGCCGCCCGACCGTTGTTGTTCTTTTCTTCTGTTGCGAAGTGAACAGCCAAACAAAGGGATGCGGCAATCCGTCGGAGAAGAAGGATGAAGAAGGAGGAGGAGGTAAAACCTGCAAAACTGCATCAAATCTCTCTAAAAATAACGCCGCAACAGCCACCTACCTACCTACCTCATGGCGATGCATAAAGAAAGAGAATTGGTGACCTTGCTTCTTCTGCCGACCCCAAGAAGGCCGCAGCAACAGCCGCTTCGTCCTCCTCCTCTTTCTTAATCTTCGAGAGATCCGAATCTCCGTTTTGTGCATATATTTAAGTCGTCCGCTTGATTGGAGATTCTGTGGGCATGGTGGAGGAGGAGAGGCGAAGAGAAGATTGTGTTTGTTGCCACCGACGACGACGATTTCGGTTCCCACGGCGATCATATCGCGTTGATGATGATGATCATCATCATCTTCATCTTCATCGCCGGTTGATCTCTTTATATGGAGCTAACTAAGAGATAGAGAGAGAACGAAAGGGTGAGAGAAGAAGGAGGAGGAGGATGAAATTAAAAATAAAGAAACAAGATTGTCGAGGATGGTCGAGGGAGGGACACGCAAAAATAAAGAAAGAAAGAAAGCTTCGTCGGGCCGAGGAAATATTTAGGTCGATCTGATCAGAGAGCCCCGCGATGGAGAGAAGAGAAATAACGAAGAAGCAAAAAAGAGATAAAGACGCGGAGGCGAAATATCAATTTGGGCTGTCTCCTTCTTCGTCTCACTCCAACATCAAGGCCACACACACCATTTCGCACAAAGAGAGAGAGAGAGAGATGAAATTGAAATTGTAATTTCTGTGCCACTCGCCAATTGCGCTTTACAAGAATCATAATAATAATAATTATTATTATTATGATAATGCAAATAAATACAATGTTGCACAATTCCTTCGTTTTTAAAACCCGAATCTTGCACACGCGACGTCGATTGAATAATCTGCCGTAATCGCGATTCTTGTTCATTTTCTTCGTCTTCCACCACCGCCTTCAAATTCGTGCTCTCAAGTTCGGATCGTTGCGAAATCGAGTTTCCCACATGGAGAGTGNNNATAATTACCATCTGTCTCACCTGACAGATTCATTTGACACATTTGCCTTTCTAACGAACGCCTTGATCACTAAATACATCAAAATACATTAATTATTAGTTCTGAAGTAACCACCTGTTGTTAAACACTCTATTATTTCGTACGCCCACGAAGCATCGAACTCGAATAAATCAATTATATTAACACATTTCAGTTTTATCTGAAAAAACAAAAAATGTTTGTTGTGCAAAATAGTTTCGTTAGTCTGCGATCGCCGCGAGTTTAGTGGTTAGGAAAGGAAAGGGGAGAGGAGAGTTGTTCGGTCGCGTCCTCGACCGTGATTGTTATTAATATTACTTAAATGTGTTTGGTGGTATCCAAGTCACTTAAGTCTTAAGTGTCAAAAGAGCGGTATGCACATTACGTATTTTAAAAATAATTATTTAATGCAGCGTAATTTTTGATGCGACTTTATTGTTGCTGTCCCCCCTCTTCTCTGCATGTACACGAACCGTGTGTGTGTAAATACGTACATGTAATGTACTGGTGTATGGGTGACCCTAACATTGAGGTTATTAACTTCGGATTATTCAGCTCATATATATATTTTTAACAATGACAATAAAAAAAAAACTCTTCAATCTTCTCTCTCACCCTCGCACATCTTCATACGCAAAAACACACATAATCAGCGTGTAAGAAAAGAAGAAACAAACGAATCCGAAAAAAGAGACAAATATCCAAAAAGTTTTATAGTTAGTGAAAGATTTCAGATTTTTGTCCACTAGAAAGAAAAAATTGTAAATCATTCTAACAAATTTTTGTAATAGTTTAGGTTAGATTAAATGAGGTTAATAGAATAGAAAATATTGCTTAGAGACAGCTGAACAATGACAATAAAAAA